ACACACGCACACACGCACACACGCACACACGCACACACGCACACACGCACACACGCGCAGACGCACACACGCGCAAACGCACACACGCACACACGCACACACGCACACGCGCACACGCGCACGCGCACGCACGCACGCACGCACACACACACACACACACACACACACACACACACACACACACACACACACACACACACACACACACGCACGCACGCACCCACACACACACACGCACCCACACACACACACACACACACACACACACACCCACCACAGACACACACACACACACACACACACACAGAGACACACAGAGACACACACACACGCACACACACACACACAGAGACACACACACACACACACACACATGGCGTTGTGGTCAGAGGACAACAGTTCTGGCACCGCCAGTGCACGCCATTGGGAAGCCTCCTGGTCCTTGGCTGAGACTGATTCGGGCTAGGGCTAACTCGTTCACCAAAATGTCGGACGTGTCATGTTTTGCGAAGCAGGGCTTGAGATGTCAGTATCCGGTCAAACATTTGGAAGCGGAGATCCTTGTGCCGAGGGCACTGGGCATCGAACGTGGGCTGGCCTTGAAGCTTACCTTTGCCACAGCTATCCTGATAAGTCCACTAAAAGCCACTACGCCAAACCTACACAGAAGGAGGATGAACATGTTGCTGCGCCTTCGTCAGGTCAGATGGCGAGCTGCGTGCGGCCGCAGTCAAGCACACGATGCTGACATGGTGTGGAGGGGCGGGCTCATCGGCTTTAGAATTCTAGCATCGGAAGAGCCGAAATGGGTGCACCTCACAGTCTTACTGGTAGGAGCCCTTGTCAAGATAGCCAGAAACCTCACGACGTGGACCCTCAGGAGAATAGCACCGTTCTAATGGCAATCTCTACAAGATTGAAAGTCGATGAAAGTCTAAGGAGTGCAAGCGGGCCTGGGATTGCGAGCATGTTGTTGTGGGGAGGTCCCCTTCCGCAGCCCTGGAGAATATTCCCGTCGTGGAGCGTGCAGAGGCTTGTCGGGAGAGGGCCTAGGAACGTCCAGAGATGGCACGGAACATGATGTGCGCAGACGTGCATATCGCGTAACTTGTGAACTTGAAGCTCATACAGTGCCTAAGCATAGCACTTGCTTTCCGGCTGCCATACACGCTGCCAGTCGCTCGCATTGCAAATCTGACGATTTATGTCCTTTCTTCTTTGTCCCAAGCCTTCACATACCACATAATGGGGCCATGCAATGCGAAATCTGCTCACGTTCAGCGATGCCTGGCGCACGGAAATCCTTCTTGTGATAGGTAGTCCTCTTTGGATGCAGAGGAGGGAGAAATTGAAGCCAGGATCTCCAACCTCTGGTCGTACATGAACTCCACAGTCCCCATATGTCCACGCTCCAAAGTTCCAAGCCCTCCAACCCCCTGAGCACTGCTCCAGGGCGTTTACGTCTTCGACTCCACAGGGAAGCAGTACCTGGACTGGACTTCTGAAGCCGTCTGCGTCAACCTCGGCCACACCATGCCCGAGACAGCTCCTTGATCGTGGTCCTTTCGCAGCTTCGGGACTTCTGGATGTTGCAGGACCCTGTGGCGTTGACAGTGAGTGGGCTTGGGGTTATCGTTGCCGACAGCTGCCTCCTTAGACTGTGAAAGTGAAAGCCCCAAAGTCTCCTACGTCGATCCTTCAAGCCCTTCACCTCACGCCCGCAGTTGACGTCATTGCTGAGTGTTTCCTTGTGACATGTTGTTCCTGACTCCCTCCATGTATGTCGGTTCACTGGGTGCTTGAAATCCAGACCCCGTAGCCTGATTTCGTGCATTTGAGTTCCTTTGTTGTGATCGCCTGTTCTGATGGACGCGTTGTGAGAGATGTTCCAGGGCTCCTAGTCTGCTAGCCAAGGTGAAGGCTGCGATGCACGAACAGATGGAGAAGTCACCTTTCATCTACGGTGGAATGGGCCGCGTGATTGAAGTGATCATGTCGAACGAAGTTGACGATTGGCACATGAGAGTCTATCAGGGTATTTCAGAATCCTCCCTAATCCCGAGTCCACAAATCCTTTTTTTTGAATTTCTTTAGCACTGAGAGCTGAAGCCATTGACTCAGCTTCAACACCTGAGTTCTCCCAAAATGCGAGGTCAACCGGAGCCCTTGTGAGCTCAGGTCTCGTCGAGGTGCGCGTGCGTTTGGCTGCGCTCTTGGCCGACCTGGCGCCGGGTGACCTCAACGGCGTCTTGCGCGAATGTGGAGACTTGTAAAGAGATCGGCGTGAGAACCCTGAAGCTATCCCTAGGCTGAGAGAGTAGGTCGTGTTTGTCGCCTTGGTTCTCCGGCGAGAGTTAGAGGTGTAGTTGTATGGATATTTGGCGCGTAGGCTCCTGTTTTGTTCCGCCGGTTCATGCGAGGTTTCCTTTTCCCGTCTTCGGGTGGAGAGGCGAACGACTGCGCCATTCGATTGGCACGGCTCTACACAGGCACCCGAGCTTGGGTCGATCGCATGAATGAAATTGGGCTTGGGGTTGTGAACTGCCTAGGATTCTCGTCCTGCTTCTGTTACAGACGAGCACACAGTTCGTGAGCAAGTAGCCTAAAGCTACCAGTAGGTTGTTCAAGAATAGACGCGATGACGTAGGGCGTTGTTGCTGCGCTCATCAGCGCACCTCAAGTACAAAATCGATGGACACCTTATGAATCATAAGCATGCGTGCCTTTTTCCTTGTGAGCAAAACCGAAGCAGTTCGAACCCGTGCTTCAAAAGTGCCTTTGCCTTGCTATGAAACCTCCTCGCAAAGCAAACCCCATGGAGGCAAGACGAAGATATTCAACCAGTACCGCTCGTACCATGGTGGCTCGCTTGGACCCCTTGGCGCGACAGGCCTCCGATGTTTCGGAATTTCATTTGAAGGTCTCAAAACCTCAGAAGACCTACCGAACATCCGACACTCCCCGCAGTATGAGTAAGGGTCCATGAGGAAATGCTACTGTGAGGGTGGTGATTTGCTGGGCTGAGGATATTTGCATCTGTATAGTTGCATCTACCATATCTGTACCCCCTAACCGATGAAAATGATACAGCTGCCACTCATCCAGAACTAAGAAACCTGCCCAAAAGCCCAACCAAACCCAAGGGACCGAGACCCACCGCCACCGGTCAGCGTGTTTCGGGCTTTGTGATGCAGTTTGCAGCCAGCAGCAGAGCATGATAGGTGACTTCCGCCGGCACTTCGCTGGAGACTCTGCTACTGGATTTGTCAAGATGCTTCCCGGATCAAGTTTGCGATGTGGGGTTCTGGGTCGGTATGTGAGGTCAAGGGCACCCTGTAGGAGTTCGGACTCAGGGTGTGGCCCTATCGAACCGAATGCGACGCTCCAAAGCCAACCGGCAATGCTCCAGCAAAGGTTCACCAAGAAAGTGTATTCGGTTCGGGGGTCTCGGGTTCTGGGAATTGCTGTGCTGACGTGGGTTGATCGTGCAAAATTGCCAAATGAGTATCCTACATGTCGGCATCTAACCCCAACTAGGAATCGCATGCCTTAAGCGAAGATGCGCTCTGACACTTGGCCTTGCGGAATGGCGGAGGTTCAACCCGGAGCCGCACTACTTCCGCTGGGGAGAGACGGCGCTCTGCTTGGAATGGATGGGGCGTTGCCAAACACACCCTGACGGTTACTTGAGTTACTTGAGCTGCCCACATGCCTCTAGACCCAGAATCGGAGAATCCAAGCAGTTTGCGTATCTGTGTGAGCCAAAACACTGAGGGTCTCTAGTGAGTTCCAAGGTGGCACAGCATCTTGTGCCTTTTTCGGGGAGAAACTTAAATCTGGCTGTCGGGGGACACGGCTATAGGCCCCACTGAGCGGCGCAACAAGTGGGTAAAGGCTTCACTGCTTCGCCCGACCCTAAAGTGTTTGAGCATGTTTAGTGTTATGTTTGGGATTTAGGGTTTGGGGCATGAGGGTTTGTTAGCGAAAAGACAATGCGGGAGTAAGGCAAAGTGTTGAAGGGGAACACCCTCAGCAGACCCATGTGGGCGTCATTTGTCAGAGCTCAGAGGCAACGAAGTCACAGATGGCTTCTGCCACAGCAAACAAACGTTCTCTCACAAGAGATACATCTTCACACGCATGACCCTGGGGGGTTTGCTTTCGTGACATTTTTTCTTGGAACCACAACAGAGCATCGGCATGCAAAGGCGTCATATGTTCAAAGGCTCATACCTCACACCTGGGTGTTAAACCCTCCTTTTGAGAGCCTTGCTGCAAAAGGCTTCGCACTACGAAGTGGTAAAGAAAACGAATGCCTCAGTAGCCTTGTCCCAAAGTCTTCGTACGCGCTCTCTTTCATTTCTCTCAGTTGCCGCGGCAAAGGACGAAGCAGCTTGTGCGATGGCTTTGGCATGCCTGGAGGAGCTGATGAGTCTACTGGAGCCTTTTCAGCTGTCAAGACATATATGCTCAGGTAACTGTGTTTAGCTTGAGTTGGCTACAGGATGCAGGATTTTGGATTCTTGGATTAAGCAAAAGTATTTCCCCGAGCTTGGCGTGCCGCAGGAGCAGATTGTGGCAGAAGGCTCGGAAAATCTTTGGACTTTAGTTTGCCAGAGCTCCGCCTTCTCTTAGAGCACCTGCAACTGCAAGTGATATTCAACACGAAGGCATGTGCATGCTAGCAGCGACCACGGCGAGAGTGACTTTGCCAGTGTGCTCAGCGTGGCTCTGTACACAGGCCCGTCCACCATCGCCGCCATCATGGTCGAGAGCATTCCGGGCTCAGCCGGTGTGCTGTAGCTCGGCAGGGAATCGCGGTGTACAAAGCTCACAGACTTTGGGAGTGCACTTGTGTTGGGAAGGAATGTACGACTAGGAAATGCCACTCAGGAAAATTACAACTGCTTTCCGGGAAAGTTGCTCAACGGTTGCACGTTCCCTGAGCCTTGACCTCCCTAGGAAGCGCGATATGGGGGCTTACGGCAAAATGGGGACCCCAAATTGTAGGATCCCCTTTTCGTGAGGACCCCAATAAGGTACCCCTCATGCCGTAAAGCGCGATACTACGCGATCCATGAGTTGTTAACTACGCAATCTGTGCAATCAAGGATACCCGCCGTCGGATACATGGAAGGCTCCCTCGGGTTGGGTCTTCTGAGAGGGGTTCTAACTGCCAGTAGGGTTTACAAGAGCAGGGTCTTGGCTTTTAGGGTTCCTGTTCAAGCACAGCTAGCTGGCCTGGTCTTTGCCCCATTGAGATCCACCCCACGAATATGCTAGGGTCTCCTCTTTGCGGGAGCATGTTGGTGGCCATGCGTAGATAGATTGCGTCCAAAGAATGTCCAAGAAGCTCGGGCCTTTGAAACGCTGGGGGCCTTCTGTCTTGGGGGGCCTTCCTCTTACCCGCCAAAAGCTCATGGGGAGTGCAACTGCAAGGCTGCAAGGTGGCCACAGAGACCGCGTAGAGCTTTACTTACATAATGCGGGGGGAGGCCCCTTTGCCCATGCAAAGCAGCAAGAAGCTCGATTGCCGGAGGCATCCGATCGCTGTGCAACAAATACGACATCCTCATGATCTGCGATGAGGCCCCGGTGCCCTAAATGCTCCTGAAACGCATTGAGCACTCTCGAATTCCGAAGGCCCGAATCCTCACCTGCGCGTTCTAAGCCCCCTAACCCTGTGCGCCTGGTTCCACGGTTCGTTGTCCAGGAGGGTTTGCATGGGGCTGCTAGATCTGCCGTGGCTTGGATACAGCCCTTTGGATCAAGACTTGGTTTAGTTCGAGAGCTTGACACTAACAGCTCATGACCACAGTCAGCATTTTCCCGCAGGCCCTTGCCTGTCCAAGGCGGCAAAACTAGCCGTTCACACCTTGGTGACGCAACGTATCCGATCACATGTCCCGTTAATTTCTCGGTATTCCCAGAAGCTTGCATGCAAGCAAAGCAAAAGCAAAGAATCTGCAAGTACAATTACCTCGCACATCCCCCCATCGCGGCTCCCAACTGGAGCCGTGAAGCTAACCCCAGAACCTCAGCTGAACAGCTCAGCCGGAGGTCATGACCGGATTTGGCCGCACCGGCGAGCTCTTTGCCTTCCAGCACTTCGAAGGCGCTCCGTGTGGCGGTGAAACGCGTGAAGGGGAGCTGTCGGAATTTTCGGACCTATTATTCTTCGATCGGAAGCGGTCTCTTGCTGGGTCGTTCAACAGGGGGACAATGTCCCAAGCTTAGTCGTCAGAATGTCATACTATGTCTGCTAACAGCATGCTGCATGCGCGACAGAATTCATGGGGAATTGTTCACGAAGACCCCACTCAAGGAGTCGTTCCCGACATCGTGACGAGCGCCAAGGGCTTGACGGTTGCTTGGCGGGGTTAACCTGAGAAACCCCAAGGCTTCAAACCGCCCCGTCAATCGCCGGCCCTTGAAGCCTTGAACCTTTAGGATATAACTCCACGGACGGCGCCCTTTGGGCGTCTAAAGAAAGGGGTGGCTCCATGGTTGGTCCATGCGTAGGGCAGAAAAAAAAGAAAACAGAAGGTGCAGAGATTTGGTGCTCCAAGTAACAAGCTATGAACTCCACAGCTTGTAGCACAATCCATGCCATACCTATGCCAGACCACTCCCAACCCCCCACCCTGCCCTTGAAGCATCCTTAAGCTTTGAAGCTTTTAACTTGAATCTTGATCCAGTCGATGGGGGGGCACCTAAGCCAACTCCGTAGTTTCAGTTTTCAGTTGCTCTGCAAAGGGATCATGGCAGCCACTCTCCGTCGTCGGTGTCCGTCGGAGGCTCAGGTGCTTGCACCCATCTTGGGCATTCAGTGAGACATTCGATTTCTTAGAACTTGTTATTTGGAGGGGTGTGAGCCTTGGGTTTCGCGACTGAACCGTGGGAAGAGCCCAGTTCTCCTCACAGGGCCAGCCCGCGTATTCGGGCGGCGGCCTACACAGAGAACACAGACAGGCAGGCAGGCAGACACACACAGAGGGACACAGAGGCACGCAGAGACACAGAGACACGCACGGACAGTGTGGCGCACTCACACACGGAGACCTGTGTGTATCAATGTATACACACACACACACACACGCGCTGAGACAAACACAGACACACCACGTCCACACCCACGCCTCCCACGCCGACGCCGCCTACGCCCATGCAGATGGGGCCACGCACACGCCCACGGACACGCCCACGCCCACTCGTGCACACACGCACGCGCACGCCCCGCAGACCCACACAGATACACACAAACACGACGCAGATTCTGTACACACAGGTGCACGGACACATTTATGCACACACACACACACACACACACACACACACGCACGCACGCACGCACGCACGCACGCACGCACGCACGCACGCCCGCCGCCCGACCGCCCGCTCGCCCGCCCGCCCGAACGCGACGACACGCACGCGCGCGCGCGCGCGCACGCGCACGCACACGCGCACACGCGCACACGCGCACACGCGCACACGCGCACACGCGCACACGCGCACACGCGCGCACGCGCGCACGCGCACACGCGCACACGCGCACACGCGCACACGCGCACACGCGCACACGCGCACACGCGCACACGCGCACACGCACACACGCACACACGCACACACGCACACACGCGCACACGCACACACGCACACACGCACACACGCACACCCCCACACACGCACACACGCACACACGCACACACGCACACACGCACACACGCACACACAACACCACACCACACACACACACACACACACACACCACACACACACACACACACACACACACACACACACACAAACACACACACACACACACACAAACACACACACACACACACACAAACCCACACACACACCACACACACCACACACACACACACACACACACCACACACACACACACACACACACACACAACACACACACACACACACACACACACACACACACACACACACACCCCCACACACACACACACACACACACACACACACACACACACACACACACACACACACACACACACACACACACACACACACACACACACACACACACACACACACACACACACACACACACACACCACACACACCACACACACACACACACACACACACACACACACACACACACACACACACACACACACACACACACACACACACACACACACACACACACACACGAGCAAACACCTTAAACCTTGAGGCCCTGAAGTGCGGTCTAGGACAAAATTTCGTGGGGAAGGTTCGAGGTCTGGTCCGGGATAGCCTCAGGCCAAAAATTGAAGGACTTCTTCTGGGCGCATCCGCCCGGCTGGGGCTCCACTTTCCAGGCAACATGCGGGCATGTTATTCGTACTCGGAGTATGAGGATGGTGCGGGTTTTTGTTTTTACAAGCTATGGCATATGCCAAGTCTTCTTGCGGACAAGGGACCCTTCAGGAGTCAGCGCGCAGGCCTTTGTTTGTATTTCGGATTTCCCATCGGCCATCTTTGCATAGTGTAGCCGTTAGGCGTGTTCATACTCCTGACATGTACC